GACTGGGGATCCAGGAGGCTTGACGGAGCCAAAATACATGAAAGCACACTTGAATGGAGAAAACTTTATCTGCCAACTTGAGCTCCACGTGAAAGCTTAAGCAAATCTGCGTTGATTTCATAGACGCAACTGTTGACCGTGTCCTTGGAAAATGAGTAAATGCAGTTAAGGTCGTCGGTATAAATGAGGTTGTGTGAATTTTCAGCACTGTTGAAATTTAATTTATGTGTAGAATGAAGGGGAATGGACCTAAGGACATGCCTTTAGAAATGTCACTCGTGAGCAGCTGAAGCGTCGAGTACCTATTACTTACTAAGACTTTCTGGCTGCTGTTAGATAAGTAGAAAGGAAGGAAGTCTAAGAAGGGAGACCGGAAGCCGAAAATTTCCAGTCTGACTAGAAGATGTCTGTGCAGTACCTTGTCAAATGCTTTGCTAAGGCCAAAGAAAATCGCAACCCCTGATTGCTGTTCATTATGAACGGAAGTGAAAAGATTAAGAAAAGCTATGTGACACGTTTCGTATGATCTTCCAGGCAGAAAACCATGTATGGGGGCTTAGAAGTTTATTTTCTAAATAAACATAGAGAATTCGATTAAAAATAAACTTTTCAAAAAAGTTCTTCTAGAGCCGGAGTTTATGAACGCGTCGATACTTATTTACATCTGAGTGATATTCCGACCTGAAGACAGGAAGTAGAATAGATGCCCCGCATGAGTCAGGAAAGAATCCATTTTAAAGATAAACTGAAAATATATGGCTAAACAAGAGGGATAAGCTTGTCACTCTCTTCATAATTGATTTTAGAATGACGTTAGTTCCTGAAGAGTGCAAGTTTTTTAGATAAATTATGTGCTGACGAATTAATTATAAGAAGAATCCGATGGCACTGATAACATTGACAGCGTATGGCTGAAACTACTTAACCGGCTCAAATCCTGACACAAGATTTTATGCATAGAATGCACTAGACAGTGCGGTCTTGTCAGTGTCTTCGAAATAGAAGCTTTTATTTTCATTTATAAATTGATGAATTTAATGACGTTGTTTCGAGGAGAACTGACGACGGAACAAATGAACAGCAGATCTTGCTCCTGATTCCCCCTGTCTGTCATGTGCCAGAAGAACAGTAGACACTAATTCGAATATCTCTGCGAATCTTACATGCACAGAAATCAATCTTACAACTGTCTCCTCAGTTGCTTTAGTCTATGCAAATGAAATTGAGGGACGGTGAATTCCGAACGCTAGAATTTATCAAACTAAGTTGGCCCAAATCTGAACCTTTTATTAGAAACGGCTGATATAATGTCAGAAAAAATTGCAGCGTCGTTCTTGGGAGAGAGACTTTGTCAATCCAATGATT